GCGATGGCCACAGAAAGAGGGATTTCCAGTGTTTATGTTCCCCTCCATCTTAGCTCTACTGATTGGTACTATTTCATTTTATTTAATAAATTTTATTAATATAACAAAAACAAAAAAATTATGAAAATGATTTACATCGCATCATAATATTATCAACCATTTAGTTTCCAAATTAAACTTCAAGATTACTACAAAGACATTTGATTTGTGATATAATAGCTGAACTGCACATAATTTAACAGGGGAAAACCGAATTTGTACGTAGAACGTATGTTAAATTAACGAATCAGAGAACGTAAAAAAGTTAGTCATAGAACGTAGAAGGTTAAAAAAGTTAATAACAAAAAAAGTAAAAACATATCTAAGTGGTAGTGGATAAGTGTGGTCTCGTTTTGTCATGTTGAGCCAAAAATTGAATCTTTTTTTTTAATTTTTTTTGTCGGAATTGAATCTCTTTAACCATGAGAATATCTTTTACTTTTTGGTTTAGTCTTTCGTAGATGCTTTAAATACTAAAAAATTTATAGATCTAGAGATTATTCTAGATTTTGGGTTAGAATGATCATATGACTATAACAAAAGCATTTAAGGGAAAACTATGCTAGTTGAGGGAAGGTTTTTTGATGACCAAAGTCGGCTCTAAACCAAAACTCATAGTAATTCTTGAAACGCAAAAAATTCAAGTATGTTTACTAAGATATATGTATTCATGTGAAATGCATATCTTTTTATATTAATTTATTTTTGAAAAAACAGGAACCTTTGCACAAGATACTTGAACAGAAATATGAAGAAAAGACAAAAAATTTCTAATAAAAACACACAGTCTTTATTGCTTTCTCCGCAGGGCACAACAGCTGATACACGACACAGCTGTTGCAACAGATAGATTATTCAAACACTTTTATAGAACAGATCCTACAACCTATTCTACCCAGAGTTATGCGACATCACACACATCGTGATTCGCTTCTGAACGTGTTCCTAATCTACCCAATGTAGCGTAACAACAGTTACAAAACCTATCTCTTTCACTCAACACAACAAATCAAATGGCTCTCACTGTTTCTAAGTTTTTCAAAGACCTATTTCGGAAGAACTAGTCGGCATATGAACTAGGAGCAGTTCTGCTACCAGCAACTCCTATAACCCTAAAAGCAGCTCCCCCTTAATCCGAAAGGGCAATAGAACTGCTCCTGTTGATGTCAGACCACCAGTCGCATCAACCTTTTCTCAACATTAAGTAAACCCACTTGCACCTTGACTTTGTGCACTTGTGTCAGAACTCCTTGTTTCCCAAACCCGACTTCCTGCGACGCCTCCTGGTAGTGCGGTTCCCAACTCGAGGTGCCACCTGGCATGCCTAGTCACAAGAAGACTTTTCTCCTTAGTTTGCTGATTATTCCTTCCAGCTTCTGTGTGGCACACTAACTCTTCACTTCTTCACTGGTCCTGTTGCTTCAACAGATTCTTCTGCACTAACAATTTTATGGTTTCGATTTAATATATTTAAACATTTTAATCATTTGGCATGGCGTTGATCATCATCAAATATCATTGAAATAACAAACGGTGATCAATATCCAAATTGCTTATTCTCTTAATTTGATTTTCCATTTGAACTAATTTGCAATTCACCCTTTGGATTTTAATAGGAACAATTCGCAACATCGAACCACAGTGGCATCATGTTTGGTACAAGGAGTGTACTCAATGGAAATGGATAGGCAAAGGAAACGAGTAGGTGCCGAGGCACAAGCCAAGCGCTGGTGGGAAGATTCCCACTTCACTTTACGAAACCTTGATGGAAGGATCCGATAGTTCCATATACGGTGCCATTTTCGAATACAACTTCTCCTACAACTACCAAAATTTCCCTAGTTTGAGAGTACCTCCACGTTACGTGATCGCGTTCCGCGGCACAATCCTAACATCAAAAACTTGCTTCTCTGATGTGCGACATAATCTCCGCTGCATCTACGACACCAGGTTCGAGCACGCAATGCATGCAATACATAATATGGTAGTCAAACACAGTGACACATCTGTTTGGCTCGCTGGGCATTCTCTTGGAGCTGACCTGGCATTGCTGGCTGGGAAGACCATGGCAAGGTTCGGATTCTTCCTCGAGGCTTACATTTTCAACCCGCCCAAATGGTCTATCCCTCTTGAGACGCTAATCAAGTGCGAAGTGCTAAATGGTGGAATTCGATTCGCCGGGAGTCTCTTCAAAGCCGGTGTAGCCAAGATTTTTAAAGATCTTGATCAGGTAAGTAACAAAATATTTTTATAAAGAAATTGATATTTTTTGCTCTTATCCAAATTATCTGGTTTAGTTAATGGAGTTGAAAACTCGATTTGTTGGTCGAGTCATATATCAACTTCGTTTCCATGTTGGTCACTCTAGGCTTTGTTGCAAATATATAGTAGATATTTTTAAAGTTGAATTTCTTACAAGAAACTAGATACTTTTTTGATATTTTTATTATTATAGGTTCAAGAAAATGATCAAGCTATGAATATAGTACGGTGGACACCTTATTTATTTGTGAACCCAGCAGATCCAATCTGCTCAGCATACATTGGATATTTCAAGAACAAAACCTTCATGAATAAGATCGGATTGAGCGAAATCGAGAGAATTGCTACTACAAACCCACTTAGGAGTCTATTGGTTGGGAAAAAAGAGACATCATCACCATCAGAGTCTCTTCATCCTCTTCCATCGGCTTATATGATTGTAAACAAGAATGTATCGCATGATGGAAGAAAAGCTCACGGGCTAGACCAATGGTGGGATCCTTCGTTTAATGGTGAGTATGTTTTTTACCAATTTAATTCATGACGTGAGCTTTCGTACGTCACTTCAATCGTTTTTAAGTCAACTAAATAATTTACTATCCAGGATGTTTTTTGTGTTGTTGTTGTTAAGGTACTATCTTAGACATGTTCAATGTATCAACTATACATAAATTAAGCAACATGATGTCTATGAAAGTTTGTGAACGACCATTCTCTAATGTACCCACACTTATTACGTACGTGTGTTTTGGATTTTACATACGGAATCTCTTTAAGGAATTATACAAAGTTTGAATTTTATGTCTTGGATTGGAAAATTTCGTTTTGAGTAATTTTTCAAAAGACTCAAACTTTGTGTGGCTGGAACAAGAACTAAAATTTCTGGTGGGGAAGTAGATTGATCATTGTTTGGTTAATTTTATAATATAGACAATTTTTTAAATGTTAATATAAAATATTTCACTAGCTTAGATATGTCATTGAATGAGTTTTTTTTTTGATAAACCGTGGGAGTTCGGAACTTTTGGCTCGTAATCTTCTCGGTACCTGGAACCAGTCTTTCGATATTCCGATTTAAAAAATAACCTTTTGTACCAAAGGGATTTTGAACCTGGGGCACAAGGGAACCAATTCCCTTATGTTACCACTAGACCACCATACATTTGGTCATTGAATGAGTTATACTTTCCACCAACTAAATATTTTGAAGCATATCAACAACTTACACAGATTTTAAAAGTGCTATATATGTTTGTCATATGATATTTAACCTTCGGA